TAATTTCACTTTAATTTTCAATACAATTAATTATTTATTTTGTCTTATATTATTTCAGGAAAAATTGACAGCTGAATATGCTACTAGACAAGAAGAAGAAGGATTTGACCCTACAATACCTCATGGTGAGGTATTACTTAGGGCAACTAGTGGGGTCAAGAAAGGATGGCTGAAAGGTTTGGATATTCACACACATCCACAGGATATAAGTGTGAGTACATCTAGACGAGAACCATTCAGGCCACCTATTATAGGACAGTCTAATAGGGTTATCAAATTACAGCAAACTATTGAATCATTGAAGGCAGATAATCATAGCCTTCGACAAACACAAATGGCCCTTTTAGCAGATAATGATAGCCTACGGCAGCAACAGTCGACCCTTGTGACACAGATGCAGCAACTCTACTAGCATTTAGGGATGACCCTAGCGGATATCAGTGGGACAGTCACCCCAAGGACACCCCTAGATATTTAGGTTTTTCATATTTTAATTAAATATTTGTATTGACTTTATATTTGTAATAGATATTGGAGACTTATATATTTATACTAAATTTAAAAAAATTTCTAGCATTTTATATGATAAACATCATAAATTATATGAAAATAATTCAATATCATAAAATTATGTAAGGAATATCGAATTAAATTATTTTTTATTGCTTTTATTTTTTTTCTTCAAATATATTTTTGGACCGACACCGGTCCGTATATACTTATACGGACCGTAATCGGTCGATATAAGTATATACAGACCGATATCGGTTCGTATATGCCTTGAACAGCAGCTTTTTGATTTTTTTTTTCTATGTTACATTTGGTGAACTTAAAAATTTTTCATATATATATGTTTATTTTATTACATTTTTTAATTTTCTTTTATATTTATATATATTTTGTTTTTTTTTTGTAAGAAATGTAAAGAATTTCAAGTAAAAGCATTTTTTTTATTTTGTTGTAAATTACATTATTTATATAGTTGTATTTTATATATATATATTTATTTTTTATTTTTTATTTACAATTATAATTACCAATATTATATTTTTATTTATTTTTATATGTTTTAT